CTACAAAAGTCAAGCAGAAAAATATTGTTCAGAAACTACTACTAATGCCTTTAACAAAACTGAATGCCGTATATATAAGGTAAAACTAGAGAAACAAAATTAAGAAACGATGTAATCAGTCGTTTTTTAAAGTTTTTTGGTGAAGCTTCGCTAGAACTAACGTTTGTTTCCATCTCGTTCAATATAGCCGAAAGCAATAGGCTAAAAGTTGAGTACTACGAAGGTACAGCTGTTTGCCAGTGGGAAAAGATCGATATTTGCTGCGTGTTAAAACAGATGTTCGAAACAGCACAATGGAAGGGCTGAAATTCGTTTGAAGACGATGGCACCAGCTTTAAGGTATGGGCAGTCATATCCATTAATTCTGATGTTTCTAGGCCTTTCAAAAGGGTTTTACATGGGACTTGTAAATGTCTGCTGTCCATCATAAAAATCTGATTTATCTTGTATTGTCCAGTTTTGAAGTAAATTGGTATTATCTCTTTTTTTTCTTGGTTAGCGCAGTTTTTTTTTTCGCTTTCAAATCATAGTATCTACAGCTTGCTGCAAGATTTTACTGAAGCTGTTGAAATTCTGCTATAGCTTTTTATGGTTGCTGGGTGTGCAGAAACCTGTTTTTTCTTATGTTCATTTTTAATCTAAATTCTTGCGAAAGTGCACTCAAAAAATTCTGAATTATAGGATGAAATGTTTTTGTCATTTTTTTTTGGAACAACATTTCAATCTTATTAACTTTGGCAGCAAAAAAATCATTATCTTAATCTTATAGCCTAGTCTTCAAATTAATTTCTGAGTTTTTTTTTTGTACCGTGATAATATGAGACTTCTTTGCTACATAAAGTAATGTTTTTGCTAAGAAATCTTTTTGAATCTATGAATTTATAATTAAATGATTGTGCTAAAATTGGATAATTTTCGTTTTTACTCTTCTTGTTGATGCTTAAAAAGCGTTTGGATTATCTAATTCCAGAGGACAGACTATTTTTCTTTTTTTTTTCTATTTTCTGGGCTTTCAATTTTGTAGAACAATTGCTAGCAGTATTGTTTCCGCCTATTCAGTTTCTCGGTCACAGCGCTTCTGGAAATGGGCTTTAGATGAACCTTTTCTCTTTAATTTTTCATTATATATTTTTAAAATTCTATAACCTGTTAGAAGGAAATGCATTAAGAAAACAAGTTTCCATTTCTTGATAGAGCTGAGGACGAAAGAAAGGTTTTTTTCAAAAAAAGATTGCAATTCTATTTGTAGAGGATAAGCTGAATTGATCAAAATTGTATAATCTAAACGGGCGTTAATAGTTTGTCCCCAAATGTTTAACTAGAACAGCTTTTGTTCGAAGAACTTCGTTTCCAAGCACCTTTTTTTTTTTGCTTTAGTTTTCTGTATTCTACAGTATCACTGTTTTGCTGGACCAATATTTTTTTAGTGTCTTGGACTGTTATTGATTTCAGATACAGCTGTTGTTTCCAGATAGAATAACTTCAGAATTAGGCAACTAGTTCCTTCTGCACGTTCTTCTAACTATAAAGTGTGCTTTCACCTAAACGGTTTATCGGCGTACATTATTGTTTGCAAAATATTGTATGATTGATGCAAATCTCGACTATTCCGTATATAACAAAAATTGTATATCTCATTTCTGCACTCAAATTCATTTTTATCAAGTGACAAAGTTGCTTTAAGATCAACAACTTTGTTTATTAATCACTTTTTTGATGATGTTTGTTTTTGAATTTCATTTGATGAATGTATTTCAAATAAACTATATTAACAAATTTATGGGCTATTTCACCAAACACTATTGCATCAATCCAGGGTTGTTTCAATGGCAGTAAAAGTAGAAATTTGAAAAGTTCAAAGCATGTTGAACATTCTAGATAAGCGGTTAATTTTCATTGTTTGAAATTGGGTTTTTCTTTTTTTTTTTTTTTTGAGAGAGAGAGAGGGAGCAAAAGAGTTTATTAAAAAACTGTATTTTTCATTTTGTCAGTCGATAATATTCATATTTGGATTGGCTAAAATAAGTGTAAAGTTTTGTTCTCTTTCTGTTCGCTAAATTTTTTTTTTTTT